CCCTCTCGGTTGGCTCGCCCTCCCCTCCCCCGGCCCCGGCGACGTGGGCCACGGAGCTCCGGCCCAGCGCTGCTCCCAGCCGGGTCGCGAACTTAACTTTGCAGCTGGCGGGTGCGCGCCGGGGAGCCGCGTCCCGGACCCCCCTCGCTTCCCGCACGCTGCCGGCTTTTCCCGGGCTGGGTGTCTCCTTCCATCTTCTCCCGGGGGGAAGAAAAAAAAGGGGGTTCGCTGCCCACCGGGGCGGGGACGGGGGCGAGGGGGGTCTGGGTGGCTCTCTTCCCCCACCCTGACCCTCTTTTGTCTCCTCCCGCGCGTGGCTCCCAGGCCGAGGAGGGGACACCGCCGTTCGCCAGCTTCAGGCTTCCCCGGGGATCGGCGCGGGGGCTCCCCGAAGCGGAGTGGGGACCGGCCCACCCTCTCCCATCGCCCTGCCGCCTCTCCGGGCCAGCAACGCTGCCACCGCAGCCCACACGGTGAGACCCGGCTCCGGGGAGGGTGCCAGGCAGATCCTGGGCTTGTGGGGTCCTGACTGTGGGAAGAGAGGGCCGAGTGCTCCACGCCCCTGGCAGGGGCCTGTCCTCGACGCCGCCCTCTGCAACTTGGGCGAGCCCCGAGCTGCTGCCACAAAGGAGATTCGTGGCGTGGGCCCCTCGCTTCCCTCTGGAGCCCGCCCACCCCAGAGCTCCTTTTCCTGGGAACTTCCTCCTTGCGGCTTTCCCCCCCCCCCCCCCTCTTTTTTCATCTCTGCTTCCCAGAGTTCCCTTCCCCCCCCCCCCCCGACCCGGTAAACATCTCCTCCCAACCCCAGGGGTAGTGGATATTTATAGAAACATATGTGTTAGGGGACATCTAGGCCACCCTGCCCGGAAAATCGATCCCCCAAAGAGCCTCCGAGGCCTGGCTCCAGCCAGCAGGGAGCACCCGCCAATGGTCCCCCGCGTGTGGAAGCATGTTTTATGAGAGCTACAGGTTTGAGCACAGCAGAAATTGTAATTAACCTGAACAAAAATAAGAGCCACGGCAGTAGTCAAAACAAAACAACCCACCCCTGTAGGATTCTCAACATGGATATTACTCAAAAGGAAAGGGCGAGCTGTGCTGTGTAGGTGGCCGGAGAAGGGCACCTGACCAGGGCTGTGGTCCCCCGAGGCCCCGGTGGGGAAGGAGAGCCAAGGCTGGGACTGGCGGCTGCAGAGACTGGATCCGACTTCACCATGTACCTTTTCTCGGCTCCTAGAGATGGCCTTTGGATGGTGACCTCCAGCCTAGAGGAGGTGTCCGCTCTGAGAAGGTGACGGTTTCAGAGGTCTCTTTCCCAAAGGCTCTTTGACAGTGTGAGCACCCTAGCATGGGTCTGCGTGAGGTTGCTTGCAGGATGGACGATTTTGTGGTTTAAGTGAAAGTTGCTTGGAAGCACCATGTGTGGCCTGCAGGGAGCATCTCTGGGGGTCATGTGTGACTGAAACTTGTTTATCACGGGGGACTTGATGAGAGGAAAGACCTCAGTTGTGGTTCGAGACATAGTAGAGAGGTAGAGCAGTTTCATTGAACACGTTTTGTTTGTTAGCTCTCATTTTGCGTTTCTTTCTCGGTGTGTCTATCCTAGGGGCTGGGAATTCATTACACGGGGTTAGACTATTGCTGGGAAAGAGAAAGCCTACAGGTAGGAGGGATGTTATTGTCACAGGGGCATCCCTAGTAAGGAACCACCATGGCTTTTAGAGGTTTGGATTTGCTGTTGTTTGGGCTGGTTTAGAATCACCTGACAGTTTGGAAAATACAACATCCATTTTTTTCCCCTCTCCTAACGTGTTGATGTTGATCACGTGACATGATGTGACAGGAAAGATGACTTGGTTTGCCTCTGAGTCCCAGTTTTGGTTTAAGGATGACCTTTACCTGATGAGAACTTCTTTGCCATGTGGAAATATGTATTAAAACCGGGAGAAGACAAAGTTGCCAGTAGCAGAGTAGCCTGCGGGAGACACCGGGAAGGTATTTCTCAGGAGGGATGCCAGTGTTTTGCTGCGGCCTGTGTGTGGTGTGGCTGTTGTTAACTGGAGGGTAAATTTCGGCCGTTCTGCATCATTGGATGCCTGGTTCCGAAAGTGAGGCTTTGTGCTTCCCATGTTGTTGGTTTTGACTTGGTTTGTGGAACAGTGCGGTTTGCCCAGATCAAGGGCATTCAGGACCACAGAGTTTATCTGGTTCTCCTGCAGTTTGACCTGAGGATTCGGACTCCACAGGTTCACTGAGCTGTCAGGAGTAGGTAGCCAACTCAAATATGTGCTACAGAGTTGCACACCGTCCTGCCTCTGAGTTTAATGTGTACTGCTTGGGACTAGTTCTGGGAACCGGTGTTGGCCTTGTTGTAAATGCTAGCGTCTTTGCAGGTGTATGTTCCCATGGCTTCTACACTTTCAGAAGTGTTTGCATGTTTATTTCCAGAGCAGTTACATCTGGAACTGTTGGGAAATGAGGAGTGAGAAGAAAGGGCACTAAGTGAAAAATGATTTATCATAGGAGCTTGCTCATCTTTGCTTTTAAGCACATGATAGGATTATGAACTTTGGAATTTTCCACGGTAGTTTCTTTTCTGCTTCTTGTGTGACTTTTATACTGCAGTAATTTAGTTTAGGCCAATTTGTCCTAAAAGTAAAACCAATAAGTATCTTGATTCTTGTTAGTTTTTTTTCCCTTATAATAGTATGTGGCAGATAACAAAATATTTATTTTAAGATCTTTTCATTTCTATAAATTCCAAAATATTGGTATATACTTTTATAACTTTGAATATTTAAATTACTATCAATTTTTTTTGTTGTGGTTGTTTTGTTTGTTTTTGTTGTTGTTGTTGTTTTAAGCTCAACTTTATTCCCAGAACACCCCCAAAATTTCTAAGGTGACTTTGGGAGGTTTTAAAACACCCAGAAGTCATAGCACACAGAAGCACGCGTTGCTTGCCATTTTGTTTGGTATTACAAGAGAAAAAGTGGCCAACTTCTAAGACTTCTGTTCATGCAGAATTTTCGATACTAGAATAGCTCATGATTAGAGGAGGGGTTTGTGGATCTCTCCACTTTAACACATCCGGTTGTAGGTATTTAAACCACTGGGATCTTTTCAGCTTGTAGTCTTAAATGTGGCACGTTGTACCACATTAGCAAATAGGCCGGACCCATGGTTTCTGGCTTCAAAAGGCTGAAGTAGGAGCGAAGGGTCTTCAAGGTCCTTAAGTTTATGATATGGTCCTAGCATCTCTGGCTTTTCTGGACATCCCTCCTATTAGGTATCAATTTTGTGCATTTGATTTTGGCTGTGATTTCAGGGTCCTGCACTGTTCGGGGCCCCAAATCCCCTCTTTTACTGGAAGCTTCAAGTCAATATCTTCAACTCCTGGAATGTGTAAGGCTCTTGGGTGTTGTAAGATGTCTGCTACAGGTGCTTTTTAACCAGCCATCCTTGGCCTTGGAGGCCCGGCGAGATCTTATGACTTGGGCCTCTGGGGATATTTCCCAACTCCCTCAGTGTTGACTTCATGTTTTGAAGATGCAAACACTGTTGCAGAAGAGTGACTTGAAGGGACACTCTTGACTCTCTGCTTCTAGTCGGGAGATACTCGGTGTTTACTGTGTACCCGAGTTAACGGGGACTTTAGAAAAATAAAGAGGTGACCACCACCACCCTCACCCCAGTAATTTCTTGCAGCCAGATGGGTGCGCTTTTTTTCAAAACTGAGTGAGGTGAAGCATTAATGATGAGACAGTACACTGTAGGCACAGAGGGAGATGTTTAATAGATCGGAGGAGGTGAGAGTTCTGGGCATTGAGGAGTGAGTAGGAGTTTGTCATCCAAACAGTGGAAAGAAGGAGATTCGAAGCAGCGTGAGAAAAGGATAGTAGCCGTAGCTGTCACTTGCTAAGTGCTATGCCACACACTTTACACACACACAAGGCCTCTACTCTTCCCAGTGGCCCTAACGAGGTAGCTTGGAACCTTTCCGAACACAAGGACAGTGCGGTTCAGAGAGATAAGGTAGATCACCCAAGGTCACAGAGTAACCGGCAGAGCCGGATTCATTTCATGTGTGAGAAATATCCGGGCTCTTATCAAACCGACTTCATCCACAAGAGAGGGGTGTGAAAGTGCGTGGTGTCCCTGGGTCCCGGGGGTTCAGCCTTGTTCCTCTTAGGGGTGTACCAATGTGTAGATCAGACTGGGAGAGCTCTGGCGAGATGGGCTCTCACTGCATGCTGTGGTGGTGGGATGTGGCCATGGGCACAAGCAAGAGCAGTCTCAGATGGACAATATGTACATTCCAACTCAAGAAGTAGTGTGGAGAAAGACTTGAGGAGTTTGCGTGCGTGCGTGCGTGCGTGCGTGCATGCGTCTGCCTGCCTGCCTGCATATCTGCCTCAGTTGTCCCAGTGAAAACAGCAATATAAGGTAAAATATAACCGATAGGGCCTGAGTGAGTGGGCACAGGAGGCTTCATGATAGTGTGGGAAGAGGGTGGATGCTGAGAGTGTTTTCCAGGTATATACACTGCCAGGGATTCCTAGGTATTCAGCCATGGGGAGAGGAGGTTTTTCTTTTTCTTTCTTTCTTTTTTATTTTTTTGATTTTTAAGTTGAGGATTATGACAGCAAGAAAGCATGGTTTTATAGAGAGACGTTATGAGTGTGTTTGTTCGAGTTGCCTGTGGAAGTGGAAACGCGTTAGCAGTTGGGCATGGGGCCTGAGTCCAGGAGGTATGGATGGGCAGGTCTGCAAAAGGACACAGAGGAGACTGCAGCCAACGATGGGTGCTCCTGATAGCCCAGCTGTGCTCAGGAGCGACCAGGAAACAGGAGCAGAAAGTCAAGAGAATGGAAGCTTATGACTCCTGCCAGCAGGAGTCATGGCTGATACTCGAGAGAGAGAGCTGGTGGACCAATTGATGGGCAAGCTCTTTAGTTCTGGTCACTGAAACATTTGAAATAATTTTTTTTTTAGTTTATGCAAAAGTTGATTGCAGTAACCTAAATCAGAGTAAATTCTCGATGCTCAAAAAGTTTTATTTTGCTAACATTTTAAGAATCTTTAAAATCCCAAGGTTGGTTTTGTGCTTCGTAAGTTAGTTGTATAGATCTGGGTTATGTGGGTTCTTCTTCTGAAGTACCCTCCATCTTGCCCTGAGGAGAGGGATTTCTTTTTTTAATTTAATTTTATTTAAATATAACATTTCTTTCATTTATTTTACATACCGGCCACAGTCGTGTGTGTGTGTATGTGTGTGTGTGTGTGTGTGTGTGTGTGTGTGTGTGTGTGTGTGTGTGTGTCTTGCCCCGCCCCCCAGGCAAGAGAGAGATTTCAAATCTGGAGTCCTTTCACTGAGCACAGAGGTGAATGAGGCTTTGGAAGGAAAAGCAGTGGCCAGATAAGAGCATGATGGAGCACTCAGCCACCCAGCACTTGAGAGGCCGGTGGCAATGGAAAGATTGATTTTTTTTTTCCTTTCCCTAAGGCTAGCCTGTGCTAGCAAGTTCTTGGCTAACTCTGGCATCTTAAAAATATGGAAAAGGGGAGAAAAGGACAGAGAAAAGGGAAGGAGGGAAGGAGAGAAAGAACAGTCAACAAGTTGGAACTACTTTTACATATGCTCAAGGCTTTTCCAGTGTCTTTTATGGACTTCCTTGCTTTTGAAGTAGAAAAGATACTAACTACTATATAGAGGAATATAAAGTCACCTTACCTGGAGGTATCATCTCCGAGTTCAATAAAAGAAATCTGCCAGAAGTCTCTCTGAGAAATACAATTCTGGATCCTGTGAAGTCAGAGTCGGGCCCAGGAACTGGCTTCTCTCTCTTGTAGAAGGGAGCAGAGCCTCGCTCCATAGATGGCCATTATGCTTGCTGCTTGTCAGTTAAAAAAGGGGGGGGGGGCAAGATTATGGCCTGCTAGTAAGGAAGGTTTGGAACCTCGTTTTCTAATCCAGGGGTTCCCAAAGCATTTCTTGAATCACTGTGCTACTCTCCCTCACCTCTTTCTTACGGGAGTCTGGATACCCCCAAACAGAGGACTGAGCCCCGATGGCAAAAGACTTGTCTTACTTACTGTAAACTCCCAATGGGTAGGGCTCCTGCCGCTTTTAACTAAGCCCCTCATTAGCGCTGGCTGGGTGGGTGAGGTGGATGTAGATGACAAGTTGATTCTTTGTGACTGCAAGGAAAAGTTTCCCCAGAAGGCTGCTGGAAGGAAATCCCGGCCGATTCAGGTTAGGAGAATGGGGGGATCGACCTTTGCCCTCTCAGTTTTGTTTAGACAGGACTATTCTGGGATGGAGTGTATGCCAGAAATAGAAATTGCCACTTTGTATTTGTAGTGGTTACTGTTTCCTTTGCTCTGAGCAAATACCTGGTCACGAACCAACTGAGAAGGAGGAAGAGTGCGTTCTGGCTGACGGTTTAAGCAGGGTCACACTGTCGTGGTGGTAAAGGCACGGTGGCAGGAACCCGAGGCGGCTGTCACATTGCTCTTCAGGGAGGAAGCAGGAAGAGATGAGGACTGGTGCCCGGCTCACTTTGTTTATTCAGTCCGGGACCCCAGCCCATGGAACAGTGCCGACCGTGTTTAGGTTGGATTGCCCTGCCTCAGTTTGCCCAGTCTGAAACTCTTTAGGAGACATGCTCAGAGAGGTTTTGCCCCCCCTCCCCCCAGGAAGTTCTAGATGCTGTCAAGGTGGCAGTATTTACGTCATGTTATTCTTTGTTGGAAAGCTGAGGATCCCAGCAGCCTGAAGAAGTAGAAATACGTGCGTGGGTACCTGGCCGTGGACCAGAGGCCCAAACTGAATGGCAGTTGTTCAGCTTGTTGGACAGAATGACCTTAACTGATGGAAGTCAGTGACACCCAGAAACTGTACAGAAAGAAAACAGGTCTGAAGTTTGCCGGGTAACTAGGACACACGTATCTATGGGAGACTCTGTCAATAGAAGCTTATTTTGTTTGTCACTGTGTGAGTTCCAGGGTTAATTAGAACTTCCGGGGAAGAAGGAAGCGTCAAGTGTTTCTGGAGGAGCTCCAGATATATACGAGGTGGGGAGTGCTGGACAGGTGTAACGCCCCATCCTTTATTTATAGAAATAAAGAATGCCTCGAAGTGTGGAAGACACCGTGGTCTGGGCGTGGGCAACGGTGTAGATGGCATTTGCTCGTGCTTTACCTGTTTCATTTCCAGATCTGATATGGCTTAAAACACCTGCCATGTGCCAGGCCTCTTATTAAACACTAGGTGCAGAATGGTAACGTGAAGGCCTGACCCCTGCCTCCAGGAGAACTTACTGCTAGGACCAAGGCTCTGTAGCTGTGGCATTCCCAGGACTGCCCTGTGTTTCCTAACCTTGCCCGACCCACGATTGTCCGTCCTTCTTCTTGACTGGCATGCCTATAAGCATCCTATTCATTCTCCCTGCCGGTATATTCATGGGACTTCTTGGGGACACAGCACTTTCCATTGACTAAAACTGATGGTGGCTGTGGGTTCCTGCCAAACTGGGAGTCGGGTGATGAGGACTGGTTTCTGACATCGCGTGGGGGGGGGGGTTGGGAGCGGGGGGGCAGGGCCCCCTTCCTTTCTGTTGATGCTTTCTCGTCTGAATTCCAGATTGGCGGCGGCGGCGGTAAGCACACCATGAATGACCACCTCCACATCAGCAGCCACAGCCACGGACAGATCCAGGTTCAGCAGCTCTTCGAAGACAACAGTAACAAGAGGACAGTGCTCACGACACAGCCCAATGGGCTGACGGCCGTGGGCAAGGCCGGCTTGCCTGTGGTGCCAGAGAGGCAGCTGGAGAGCATCCACAGACGGCAGGGGAGTTCCACCTCTCTGAAGTCCATGGAAGGCATGGGGAAGGTGAAAGCCACGCCCATGACCCCCGAACAAGCGATGAAGCAATACATGCAAAAACTCACAGCCTTCGAACACCATGAGATTTTTAGCTACCCCGAAATATATTTCTTGGGTCCAAATGCGAAGAAGCGCCAAGGCATGACAGGCGGGCCCAACAACGGTGGTTACGATGATGACCAGGGGTCCTATGTGCAGGTGCCCCATGATCACGTGGCTTACAGGTACGAGGTCCTCAAGGTCATTGGGAAGGGGAGCTTTGGGCAGGTGGTCAAGGCCTATGACCACAAAGTCCACCAGCACGTGGCCCTGAAGATGGTCCGGAACGAGAAGCGCTTCCACCGGCAGGCGGCGGAGGAGATCCGGATCTTGGAGCACCTACGGAAGCAGGATAAGGACAACACCATGAACGTCATCCACATGCTGGAGAATTTTACCTTCCGCAACCACATCTGCATGACGTTCGAGCTGCTGAGCATGAACCTCTATGAGCTCATCAAGAAGAATAAGTTCCAGGGCTTCAGCCTGCCTCTGGTGCGCAAGTTTGCCCACTCGATCCTACAGTGCTTGGATGCTTTGCACAAAAACAGAATAATCCACTGTGACCTTAAGCCCGAGAACATTTTGTTAAAGCAGCAGGGGAGAAGCAGTATTAAAGTGATTGACTTTGGCTCCAGTTGTTACGAGCACCAGCGTGTCTACACGTACATCCAGTCACGCTTTTACCGGGCCCCGGAAGTGATCCTTGGGGCCAGGTACGGCATGCCCATTGATATGTGGAGCCTGGGTTGCATCCTCGCGGAACTCCTGACGGGTTATCCCCTCTTGCCTGGGGAGGATGAAGGGGACCAGCTAGCTTGTATGATTGAGCTTTTGGGCATGCCCTCCCAGAAACTCCTGGATGCGTCCAAACGAGCCAAAAATTTCGTGAGCTCCAAGGGTTATCCCCGATACTGCACTGTCACGACGCTTTCGGACGGCTCTGTGGTCCTCAATGGAGGCCGCTCCCGGAGAGGGAAACTGAGGGGTCCACCGGAGAGCAGAGAGTGGGGGAACGCACTGAAGGGATGCGATGATCCTCTTTTCCTTGACTTCTTAAAACAGTGTTTGGAGTGGGATCCCGCGGTCCGCATGACCCCGGGCCAGGCTTTGCGGCACCCTTGGCTCAGGAGGCGCTTGCCAAAGCCTCCGACCGGGGAGAAGACGGCGGTGAAGAGGGTCACGGACGGCACTGGTGCTATCACGTCCATTTCCAAGTTACCTCCACCTTCCAGCTCGGCTTCCAAGCTGAGGACTAATTTGGCACAGATGACAGATGCCAATGGGAATATTCAGCAGAGGACAGTGTTGCCAAAACTCGTTAGCTGAGCTCCAGTCCCCTGATGCTGGCAAGCTGAGAAACGCGTTGTAGCTGAGCCTTATTGGGTTGGAAAGTGTAGCTCAGACCTGTTTTTATTTGCTCAAAAACTCGACTTATTTGTATCTTTTCAGCACTTGATGTAAGACAGTTTGTTTTGTTTTTATAAATACATGGGGACAATGCTTTAAGTTTTTATACTTTCTGAAACCTTTTTTTTTTTTTTATTTTTTTTTTTTGCCCCCTTCCTTGTGTTCTAAAAGTAAGATGAGCCTTACTGTAGTTCGTGGCAGAGTGATCGTATCAGTGGCAGGCCATTGATTTCTTCATGACTGACACCCACTTACAGATTGGTCACGCATATTCACTATGTTTTCATGGTTCGTCCTCTACGCTCCCCAGGGAGGTGGCCCCCAGGGGCCCTCCCGCGCTCCGGGTTCACCCAAGAGCATGAGCACGCCTTGCCTCCATTTTCCCTCAGTTAACCTGGGTCAGAGTGGAGGTGGAGGAAGAAGGGTCCCGGTGAAAAATCTCTAAGAAAAACTGCACCTTAGAGATGGTCTTTTTTCCTTAAGGTGTGTTCAAACAATCACAGAATAGATTGCCCAGGTCTAAGCCCGCCCACTTAACATTCTGAAGTTCTTAAGCCACCAAGCAGCATTTAGGGGATGGATGGAAACTGAGATGTGTGAATTCCTCCCAAGGCTCTGGGAAGTCGGCAAGCTGTCATAATCAGGAAGCCTTCTGATTATAGAATTGCTTTTTCGCCTAATTTTAGGACTTTTCCCCCCACTGTTCCCCGCTTCCCCTTCTCTGTCCCTGTCCCTCCTTTATCACACCTCTGTCGCCTGCATTTCGTGCGTCTTCTTCCTTCAGCTGTCTATCCCAGACTGTTAATGCAGAGAGCCATTGCGGCTGCCGTTATGTCCGGAGTGTCATACCCCAGTTTCCAAAAGAACAGCGGCCTAGCTGCCTAAGGTAGGGATGTGAATAGTTCCGAAGGAGACTTAGCCGGCCGGAGTGCGTTCACCCTGTAGGCGCCACTGAGGTTCCCTTAGCCTGGGAAAGCATCAACTCTTTCGTTAGAAAGAAAAGGGGTTTTGAAAAATCCTCCTGGTGAAGAGAAGTCACTGTGGCCGCTCCGCTGGGCCAGTTTTAACAACACAGTGAAAGGAGGAGGAATTCAACCTCCAGGTAAATGGTTTGACTTATCCTTTGATTCGTTAGAAGAGCCACGGAAACCGCATCCCTCTCTTCAGTTTTACGTTCTTTTTGCATTGCGCGGGGTGTTTTTGTGGGGATGATGACACTTTTCCTGAAAGTAACTGAGAGTTAGGTAAAAGAATATTTTCTTCGCTGAATAATAATTATTTTCACAGTGAAAATTTCAGTATTTTATCACTAATGGATGAACAGTGATATATATCAATTTCAAGGCACGTGGAAAGAATTTTTTTAGTATGTGCAATTTAATAGAGAAAGATTTCTGCCTGTTTGGACAATAGGTTTTGGATAGTAAAAATTAGGATAAATAATCTTTTATATGCACAGATATTATTGTATTGCCTGTAAATCGATTTACAAGTACTTAAAGCATGGTCCCCAGTGAGGCCAAGAAAGTTTCCGGTTAAGTTTTTTTTTTTTTTTTAATTCTATGTGTTCTCTTATTTTAAAAAAACAAAAAGCAAAAAAACAAAACAAAAAAAAAGTGTCATTTTGAATAAAACATTTTTCTTATCTTGAGGCTTTGCCAGTTGATGGTGGAAAAATATGCTCAGGAATTATTTCAAATATTTGCCAAAAATGAGTAATAAGATTAGTTTATTAATAAGTTATCGATATCGCTGTTTGCTTTACTATTTGAGGATGCCATTGGTAAATTAATTTGTACCTTCTGTACTTAGCAACGATAGCTTAGTTCCCTAGTCAAATTCTTTAGCATACTATACACATTTCTGTGTAATCTGTGAAGTGCAATAATATGTCAGTAGGTTACATCTTAAATGATGCTCATGTGACAGTACCCCCCAAATCAGTGGCTTCTAGGACTTAAAAATTTGTGTATTTATTTTTTAAAAAATTGGCGTAAAGGCATGAGAAATAAGGTTTGGTCTGGGGACTTTTGTAAAAAACTACGAGTCTCTTAACGATGGCTAGTGTCTTTAGGTCATTACAGTTATTCTAAAAGCTACAAAAGCTGTTTTCCCCTCCATGGCTCCTGCTCTGTTCCCACGATCACTTAGTTGTGAGCCTGAGTCCGCTCTTAATAACTCCCCTGTAACACAGCTATACTCGCCACAGTGGACTAAACCTGCTTGTCTTCCCCCCACCACACAAAACTGGTTCTTCTGAGGCCAGCAGAACATTCATGAGGAGCTTTATCCACAAATGCAACCGGAAACTTTGAAGCCAAACTACAACGTGCAGTGCTACAGGGCTTTTCTTTCTTTCTCGCTGTCTTTTTTTCTTCCCCCCCAGCCACGGTGAAATTTCCTTTAATTCCTAAAAGCCGACGTGTTTCAGCATTCACTGATACAGCTGCTTTGAGAAGAATCCTATTTAATTATTGTGTCTCAAATGAAACCTGTTGCCTCTTCGTGATCTTCAAACCTAAATAAAGGGCTCTGATAGGCTACTAGGAGTCGGCTTGGAAACGGTCCTTGGTCTCACAGGTTACCAT